CCATCATTTTGTTATTACATAATGAAGAATTACTCTCAAGAATGACTGATTTTTTTAGGGTCTGCAGCAACCAACGATTGCGCATCTGGATTTGGCCGAGCCGCTCCCACTAGCTAGCGGACAGGCTAGCAGAGCAGAATGTTGTAGCGCTCTCCTCTGCAGTGAATCCGATTTAGCTTAGCTACCCTTTCGTAAACTGTATGTGTGATATTTTAATGCAATACCACAGATGTGGAGTATCGTCCTTTCACCTTATGTTTGTGTTGTATGATTTCTGGAGTCTTAATGTTTGCGAGCTACTTCCCTTTGCAAATGGGGCTATCACTTGTTAGCAAAATCAGCATAAGAATTTTTTCAGTGGCTTTTCTTGAGTCTGGCAATTTGTAGTAATCCTTGTAATCTGATTAAGCCTGATTGGTTGTTACTGCAGGGTGAATGTCATTGCAGTTGACATATGACTCATAGCACTTTAAATTGGACCCTTTCAGTGGCATAAAACTGCACAGCGAGACCTGAGAACAACTAGGGGGACTAGGATTGCGCTTTGATGTTCATAAGACATTCCCTTGTATCCAGTTAGCATAGTTTAGTTGTTATATGTGGTCGATAAACTTAACATAAGACATATATGGTCTTCATATATGCTGCAAATGTTTTAAGGCCTGTTATTAGGAGACCAACATCCACCTTGCTCTTTCCCTTTCCATCTTTCAGGCAGTGCCAGTGATGGCCTCCCCCCTCCCTGTCTCCTTTATCCTGGTGGTTCTCCTGTTGGTCAAGTCACCTGTGTGCCAGGCAGGGGACTGCAGGGGCCACAGGCAGGTTTTGAGGGGACCACGTGGCTATGTGACAAGTGGAGGAGGAGGAAACTACTCTGCCAATGGGAATTGCGAGTGGCTCATCAAAGGTGGATAAAATGTTTTTTGTCATTATTTTTTGTTGTTTTCTGTGATTATTCAAAGTGATATTTATCGAATTCTTCATATCTTCCAGCTCCCACCAACAGTCACCGCATTGTCTTGGATTTCACCTTCATGAACACAGAGTGTACTTATGACTACCTTTTTGTGTATGATGGGGACTCCTACCAAAGCCCCCTGCTAGCCAGTCTGAGTGGTAGCATGGCACCCCAGCCCATTGAAGCAAAGTCTGGCAAGGTAACCAAGAAAAGATACCACAGCTGAAAGGCCAGGATGATTCCTGACACCCCATTAGCATTGAATTCTAACTTAATTTGTGTTTTGATGCATTCTCAATCATCCAGGTAAGTAAATCTCCAAAAGTTGATTCTGTTCATCTGGATGTAGCCTCATACCACAGGCTATACCCAGGGGAGTCTACACCAAGTCTGTACGGTTTACTGAAAATACATAAACAGGGTTCACCTTTAAGACCAATTGTCTGTATGATCAACTCGGTGTGGGATTATAATATTATCTTATGCCATGTTATACCCCTGATTAATGATTGTGAAATTATTATGTAGTTTTAGTTTGCAGTATTCTCCTGAATTAGAAGAAGGTGATAACTATTACAGTTATTAAACTGATTTGTATTACATTAGACTGCTGATTCAGTGTGAATGAATTGTATTGTTTATGATGCATTATACTGCTATAAGAAATACTGTTTTCAGAGATTCAGGACCTTGCTTTTTCTGATAGTAGAGGAGACAGAGAGCACATTCCACGGGAGCTTCACCCCCACCGTTGTTGAAGGCAGACAAAATAGGGAGCCAAGGCCATAAGTCAGAAAGAATGTGAATATTTAGGTTTTTACGACTAGGTGGGGGCCACTAAAGGCTATAAGAGTTTGAGTAACCCTCCACCAGTTGGAGATTTGCTGTGACCCTCTGCATGCATGTCTCCCCATCCGGATGGTTTATGCTCATAAAGTGTCAAATTGTATGGAATAAAAGAGTGTTGATTGAGCATTTATACACCGAGTATTGTCCTTCCTTCAGCCCAAAGATCGAAAGAATTGGGAGAATTTAACATCGGTCACCTATAATATCTCCAAGTTTCTGGCTTTGATCCTCAACCCACTGGTGGGCAGTTCTGAACACCACATCCAGAACACTCTGGATTTTGTTGAGAAGGTGAGAGATGTCATTATGGAGGCAGATGAAACCATGGTCTCGTACAACATTACATCTCTCTTCACTTGCATCCCAGTCACGGAAGCGTTGGAGGTAGTCCGTAAGAGATTACAGGATGACCGAAACCTCAGCAACAGGACCACTCTCAGAATCGACCAAGTGTGTTTGCTTTTGGAACTGTGTCTTCATTCCACCTACTTCACATACAAGGGTCAGTTCTACAGGCAGAAACATGGGTGTGCCACGGGCTCCCCAGTTTCACCCATCGTGGCCAATTTGTACATGGAAGAAGTGGAAAAGAGGGCTTTTCTATCCTACCCTGGAACACCACCAAGCCATTGGTTCAGATATGTGGATGACACCTGGGTAAAAATCAAATCTCAGGACGTACCACAATTCACGGATCACATTAACTCGGTGGACCAACACATCAAATTCACCAGAGAGTATATGAAAAGTGGCAGGTTAGCCTTCTTAGACTGAGATTTCCATCAGTAATGGGGGACATCTAAAAGCTGGCGTGTACCGTAAACCTACACATACAGATCAATATCTAAGGTTTGACTCTCATCATCCACTGGAGCACAAACACAACACAGAGCGAACACCATCCCCACAGACACAGCGGCCAGGGAGGCAGAAGAACGGCACATCAAGGAGGCCCTGAGTAAATGTGGTTATCCCAGCTGGACTTTTGTGAAAGCTGGAAAGGCACCTAAAGAAAGCTCCAGCCGATCCAGGAGAGAAAGACAACCGCTGCCCAGGAAAAACCTGTAGTGATCCCGTATGTGTCAGAAGTATCAGAGGAATTGAGACGCATTTCTTCTAAACACCAAGTCTCTGTGGTTTTTAAACCCCAAAACACGCTGCGCCAAAAATTGGTCCACCCCAAGGATCAGGTCCCCCGACACAAACAGAGTAACATAGTGTAAAGTGCCAGGAGGATTGCCAGGGTTTATACATCGGGGAAACCACACAACCTCTGGCACAACACAGAAGAGCTACCTCGTCAGGCCAGGACTCTGCAGTCTATTTAGACCTACAGGCCAGTGGACACTCTTTCAAGGATTAGGATGTACACATCCTGGACAGGGAGGAACGCTGGTTTGAGCGCAGAGTCAAGGAGACCATTTACGGGAAAAGGGAAAGACCATCTCTGAGTCGAGGAGGGGGCCTAAGGGTACATCTTTCGCCATCTTACAATGCTGTGATTGCAGCCATTCCCCAACTCTCTGTGAATAGTACTCATGGCCATTGATCAGTGGGTTTTGGCCAGTGGTTGTTGATCAATGGTCATGAAAATTTGCATAATTAAGATTAAGGAACTGACCTCCTAGCCCATAGTTCCTTCAGTAGGCTGGTTTCAGTCATTATGTAAATGTACTGTTTATAAGATTGGGGAAACCTGCAGTCAGCTGAGACTGAAGAAGTCACTCGGATGAGTGACGAAACGTTTCTCCCACAATACGCTACGTCCAGATGAACAGAATCAACTTTTGGAGATTAATTTGTGTTCACTGTTCACTGTGTCTGTTCCAGATGCTGCTTCATTTCTTCAGTGACAGTAATTACAACCTCCTGGGTTTCTTTGCATTTTACACCATCTCTTTGTGCCCTGGAGCGTGTGGCGGTCATGGTCGTTGTGATTCCTCTACATCAAAGTGCCATTGTCACCAGGGTTGGGGTGGGCCCTCGTGTACAACTCCTCTGTGCACTCAAGCTTGTTCTGTGAACGGCCAGTGTGACAAGGTAAGAGTAGGGATAGGGACGATTAAATGAACACACACAAAAAATATATACTATAGTCGCACAGTAACGCGTTTCTCAACCTGATTAGGTTATTCATTTGTGTGCCGTGATGAAACTTTTCATATTTGCTTTCATTCATTTTTCAGAAAGGAGAGCGTTGTCTGTGTAAGCCAGGCTTTGTGGGTCAAAACTGCCAGCTTGGTCTCTATAATGACAGCGGTGCAGGGAAGTGGTGGCGTGTGAGTGAAGAAAACCCCTACACACCTCCCAGGACAGGTTCTGCAGGCGTGTACCTCTCCTCCACAGGAGCCATGTACCTGTTTGGCGGTAAGAGCAACACACAGTTAAATTCCACTGATACAATTTTTCTGTTTAGAAAACAAAATTTTTAACACACAAGACAACGGCAAGGTTTTTGACTTTGATTCTTTGGTATATGTTAATAATCATAACTCAACACAATTTGTTGCTGTGTTACATATTAACCATCAGTGATGTTGATGTCTTTGTTAGAGCTGAATGCCAATGTCTGAGTCATCAGTCTCATATCTCATTATTGGCTTGTTTGAATTATATTTTGCTTATCTTCTTTGCAGGATTTGATCTGAACAGAGCTCTTGGTGACTTGATCAAATACAATTTTACATCCAACCAATGGGAAAGCAGGTCTTATGGTCATTCACCTGTAAGTGAACATACACTCAAACATGTGCTGTTTTTCTTTCCTTCTGCTATTGCATTTGCTTTGTCATTCTCTATGCAAACAAGTGTCCAAGTTACTGTCAGCACTTTACAATAAATTGATCCTCAAAATGTCATGTAGGCAAGAAATGTAGTTTCCTTAATCAGGAGAATGGATTCAAAGATATGACAATTTTTTTTTTCACAACTCATTCAATGCAGTTCATTCTTAACAATTAAAAAAAAAATGCTGCTCTCTGGTTACTGTCCATAGTTACTGTCCAAACATATGACCTAATCTCACCATAGCACAACTGTTTGACTAGTTTTTGACAGTTAGCAGTTATCAAGGACACAGACAGCTCCAGACACCATGGATGGTCCTGTCTCTAAGTGCGCCTGAAGGGCACATGGTAGCTAGTGCTCTGTGATGCAGTGTTTTCATAGATGCATTAATCCAGTCACAAAAGACTGGCAGACATGCAGACATCTGCACAGATCCTTAAGGTCACCATCTAGTGTTAATATTTCCATCACTTGAATTTAAGTAGATCCTAGCATACTTGTGGATATCAAAACTTTTAACATGCTTTTCTTGCTTTCTTTCTTTCATTCATTCATTCATTCATTTATTTATTTATTTATTTATTTATTTATTTATTTATTTATTTATTTATTTTCAGTGCTGATTGACCATATTTATTTAATGCCACTTTGTGGTGATAGAGTATTATATTCTACTGATTGCTTGTTAAAAACAAGGGTAAATCGATAAAGTCAAGAATATTTGCTTATTTTTTTGTAAATAATGTTGTAACTGTTTAAGAATTTATTTTTTAATTTATCGAACCTGTTTATGACAAATGTGCATTT